AGGATATGCAGAAGAGTCCTAGAGTGCCAGGTATTAGAAATCAACAGTCAGTAATCACTTGCAAACCGATGGGGCCCCCCTTATCAGTAAGAACTGCTGAGATCAAAGAGGGCAAGTGCTAAGGGACGGTTGGGAAACAGGTTTAGAATGTGTTTGGGTGAGAAGTCACAGGGAGGTGGCAGGTTCAAGAAAAAGCACTTCAAGAAGAGAGAGGAGTTAGAAAGTGAAAATTAGTGGCAGATCTCTTTGTGAAGGTGGCTTCCTCACAAGAGGTGGTGAAGATATCATAGAAGTTTGAAATTGATGATAGGAGCCTTTGTGAACCAAGTTAAGATCTAAAATTTAGGTGAGGTTTGGAACTGGAAGTGGCATTTATTATAGCAATAGAAGAGGGAGCTCTTGAGGTGAGAAACTGGGAAACCTACTCCTTCTTTCCCTTCAAAAGCTCCTCCTGGAGCATTTGAGACTGTGCTCCCTGGCATATGTGGTCAGTTTGCCTCACAAAAATTCTCCGTCTACTTGAGGAAAATCCAACTCATTCAAATATGATTCGCAGAGTAATGGTGCAGCTACAACAGCCAAAGAATGCTACTCAAGGAAGATAAAAGGGCAAAAAAGGAACTAAAAATAGATACAAAACTTCCCTGTAGACTAAGAACACTCCTAGAAAAATATTGCTCCGAAGCAGAGGGAAACTGCAACACACATTCCAACATGCATAAAGGGGGATAAATTGATGATGTAATTGCAGTCAGGAAGGAAGACAATAAAAAAATAAATACAAGAACTCAGGGGACACATGGCCAACAAAGGGAAGGTGATGGCCAGTCAACAGGAGGATGTGAAATAGTAACTAGTAAAATTTAGGAAAGAAATAGAAGGAACAGACAATTTGTTGGAGCCATTCTGACAGGTGTGAAGTGATACCTCGTTGGCAAATATGTTCTCCCATACAGGGGGCTCCCTTTTCGTTTTGTTGATGGTTTCCTTTGCTGTGCAGAAGCTCTTTATTTCGATGCAGTCCCATTTGTTTATTTTCTGCTTAGTTTCTCTTGCCCTAGGAGATGTATCGGGAAACATATTGCTAGGAGAGATGTCTGAGATTTTGCCGCCTATGTTTTCCTCTAGGATTTTTATGGCTTCATGTCTTACATTTAAGTCTTTTATCCATTTTGAATTTACTTTTGTGTATGGTGTAAGTTCATGGTCTAGTTTCATTTTTTTTGCCTGTATCTGTCCAATTTTCCCTACACCATTGATTGAAAGACTATCTTTACTCCCTTGTTTGTTCTTGCCTCCTTGATCAAATATTCATTGACCCTAATGGCGTGGGTCAGTTTCTGGGCTCTCTGTTCCGTTCTACTGATCTCTATGTCTGTTCTTGTGCCAGTACCAGGCTGTTTTGATTACAGTGGCTTTGTAGTATAACTTGATATCAGGTATTGTGATCCTTCCGACTTTGTTCTTTCTCGAGATTGCCGGGGCTATTTGCAAATATTTTAAATTTATTTAAGCTGTCCTTCAAGTGTCAAAGCTACAGGTAAAAATTTCTGCAAATTTAAGGACTCAGAATACTATCCACATCAGGCCTTACTGAAGCATCTGCCAGAGAACAAAATTCACTTAACCAAAAGATGAGGGAAACTTCAGCAAAAAAACTGGGGTGAACACTGACTATGTCTAACAACAAACCAGGACCAAATCAAGGCCTAACATAAGGGTTACGAAATAAAATGTAAATATGAACATTATATTTACATAAACTTTCACTATGGGGGCTGTTATTTTGGAAATCATAGTCATAATTTTACTCTAATGGCTGCCTTTATAATTAGACTTTTATACAATACTTAGGACCCTCTTTCCTCAGACAGTATCTATTGGTTCCTACTGTAAACATCAATGAATTAGCTTGAATTTTCTTTTTCCTCTTTTCTCCACCCAATTTTAGTCAATAATATCATTCGTTGTGGGTTGAACTGTGTCCTCCTAAAATTCATGAGGTAGGTATATGCTTAGTTTTATGAAAAAAAAATGCCATACCTTTTTCCGAAGTGGTTATCCCACTGTACAGTCTCACCACCAATGTGTCTGAGCTTTTGTTGTTTCATCACCTTGTGAGCATATGGCGAGTTATTTTAATTTCAGTCATTCTCCTGAATGTGTAGTGAGTGGCATCTCATTGTGGTTTGGGTTTGTGTTTCCCAATGACTAATGGTATTAAGTTTTATGTATATTCACATGTTTACCCCATTTTTTGAAGCTATTCTTTAGTACTAAATTGTTTGCTCCCTCAAAATCCTGTTGGGATTATAACCAAAGTTACTTTAGTCATATACTTTCATTTGAGGGGTGTCACAATTTTCATATTTAGTCTTTCTTTCCTTTATTCATTATTCAAAGATTTTGTCTCTTTCAGGAGGCATTTTTATTTTATTTCCTATAGGTTCTAAGATAGTTTTGTTAGAATTATTCCTAGATATTTTATGTATTTGTGAATATTATAAACAAGTTATGTTTTTTAAAATGTTTTTGTTTATGGGAAAGGTTCATTTGTAGATATTTATCCTGTATCCAGCAACATAATTAAACTTTCTTGTATGTTATAATAGCTTTTCAGTTCTAGTTATAATCATATCACATTAATAAATTTTTTTCAAATAGATATATCTTGTTTTCCTTTAAATTTTCTATTCATTGCCTAAAATAGTTTTTCTTAAGCATGGTGATTTTGCCTCTTAACAGACATTTGGCAAGTCTGGAAACAGTTTTGATTGTCACTAGTGGAGGAGGAGTTGCTATCTAGTAGGTAGAGGCCAGGGATGCTGGTAGGCGTCTTACAATGCATGGGACAACTCCCCACCACAGAGTCATCCAGCTCAAAAGTGCAAATAATGCTGAGTTTGAGAAACCTTGCGTGAGAACTGTGAGAAAAACACTAAGTAGTGTTGAAGATAAAGCAATCTTGTCTTACTCCTGATGTTAATGTGAATGTCTATGATCTTCACTAATACATATAAAATCAAATGTAAATTAGTGTTAATTATAAAAGTGGGAATTTGTTCAAGAATGCTTTGTTCAAGAACTAGTGATTCTCCAGTGGTGGCAAGTTCACCATGGCAGTGATTTTCAAGAAGAGTGAGTTGTAGAAAAGGTGTGGAGATAAAGAAGATCACTCTGTGGTAACTATAGCCCGAGGCATGCCCTTCCCCACTAGAATTACTAAAGTACTATCCAAGTTTAGTTAATATCAGGTAGGCTACATTGGACCTGCTTGTAGAAGCCCATGGCCTTACATTTTATAATGAAAACAATGCTAATGTTCACAGTGAAGGTCTTCTTCGGGTTAAAGCTTCTGTGAGCTTACTATTTGCATGTTCAAATAGGTCTATTCTGCCCTAACTCTTAATTTTTTCCCTCAGCATTTTGAATATTTTTTCCCCATTTTTTCCTTTCATCTAATATTGATGAGAAAACAGTAATATGGCACTTTTCTTTCTTTGTAAGTGATGTCTTTTACAGTGAGCTTTTTCATTCTTGATTCTCTAAAATTTTGCTACAATGGATCTTTTTCTCAATTTCTCTTTTCTCCTGGAGCTCTAAATTAGATCTTTCATCAAAACTCCATGTCTTAAGATTTAAAGTACCATTTCCTATTCCTTTAGCTGAGGATTTCTTAGCTTACTTCAATAGCACTTGTTTGATTAGCTGTGTCTATTTCAATATTCAACCCACTTGTTAACTTGAATTTTTTCCAAGGTATACCTAATTGGATCTTTCTATGACTGCTTCTCATTTCAAAAGAGATACTTCTAAGATTAAATGTTTTAAGCTGTCTCAATTTCAGTTATCTGTTGTCTTTTTTAAAGTTGAATTTATTGGGGTGACATCCGTTAATAAAACCATACAAGTTTCAAGTGTACAACTCAATAAAACATTTGCATACACCGAAAGTCAAGTCTCTTTCCATCCCCATTTGTCCCCTTTGTCTACTTCCACCTCCGCCCACCCACCCCTTCCCTGTGGCTATCACCACTGTTGTCTCTGTGTGCACGTGTATGTGTATAAAAATTTTTTTAACCCCTTCACCTTTTTTTATCTAGTCCCCCAACTGTCAGTCTGTTATATGTATCTGTTTCTGTTTGCTCTGTTTGTTAAATTATTTTGATTACATTCTATATATAAGTGAAATTATATAGTATTTGTCTCTCTGGCTTATTTCACTTCGCATAATAATTCCATTATGTATTCGCTTTCCTCAAGTTTCAGAAGTGGCACTACTATATAAACTATAATATATAATCTGAGCAGGTGCTGTTCTAGATACTTTACATATATCATTTACTTAATCCTCTCATTAACTTTATGAACTATGTACTATTAACCCCACTTTAAAGATGACTACACTGTGTCAATGAGCGAGGTGAACTCTCAAGGCCACGGAGCTCCTAGCCACTCAAGCTTGCTTGGGCTTCGCTTGCTCCTGAGAGCAGTTCCCTGCTGGCTGCCAGCCTGCCCACAGCGGAGAGGGAGGCACAGCCACACACTTGTTTGCAGTCTTAATTGCCGGTGTGCCTTCCTGTTCCCTTTGCGTACCTCAGGCTATGAAAGGGCACCAGGTTCGCAACAGCCTGTCCATTGTAACTCTTTCAGGTGAGTCACCATTTCTAGACCAAGAGCTCTTTGTTTAAGTTTAGCTTCACCATTAAATAGGAGAAAATCCCACTATTTTGTGAACTTTAAATCTGTAGGATATATAGCATACAAGTTGAAAGGAAGGAAAACAGTGAGATCTAAGGTTTTACTACTTCATTTTTACTGTATCTACTTGGACTCTGAAATTCCCAAATCCTGACTCTGCATCTGAGTTTTGTTGGGATCATGGGAGAAGGGGGGAAAGCTTTTCTAATGCACCCACTATCCTCAGGAAGCTTTCACTAAACTCACATTGATGGAATTTAACCTTTTTTTGTGCTTCAATAGCAATCTTTTTACACACAGTTATAATGCAAAAGCCAATTTATTTGTACACACAGCAATGAAGGAAAGCAGTCTTCTGTCGAATGAAGAAGAGTAAGATTCTTAAGTAGCCGATTTGGGGAGCAACAATGGAAAGACTTGCTTTGCTGCCTTCAGATGTTAGCTCTCTTTACCTGACGCTTCAGCAGGCTTCTTAAACGGGTCTTCCTCCTCGGCCTTCTTTTCTAATCCCTTATGATAGACAATCTGGCGTTCTAGGTAGTTTGTGTTCCTCTTCTGTTTATCCAAGTACTTTCCCAAGAAGCGTACAAGCTACAGAAATAAAACAGGGGAAGACTCCTAAGAACCTTGTCTGCAACGGGAGGCAATCAAAAATCTTGCTACCCAAATTACAGCTTACGGACCCACAGTCCTGGGAGCGTGTCAGAAATACAGAAACTCAAGCCCCACTGCAGACCTACTAAATCAGAGCCTGCTTTTTAAGAAAGGACTAGGTAGTTCATATGCACATGAAAGTTCAAAGAACACTTATCTAAGACATTTAAGACCTCCAGGTGAATACAAATATCCACTTTCAAGGAATATGAGTGTCAGGGTATCTCATCAAAAGTACAGAGTAAGCCCTAGCCCGTTTGGCTCAGTGGTTAGAGCGTTAGCCCTTGGACTGAAGGGTCCCGGGTTTGATTCCGGCCAAGGGCACGTGCCTCGGTTGCAGGCTCCATGGAGCCAGGACACAATGCTATAGATCCCCCTAGCATCTCAGGAAATCAAAGTGAGAAAAATGCCCTTGTACAAAAGTTATCAACCCTAGATGCATATTGGGCTCGCTTAGGAGCTCTGACCAGGTCAGGGAGCATGCGGAAGGCAACCTATCAACGTGTCTTGATGCTTCTCTCTCTCTCTCTCCTCTTCCCTCCCTCCCTTTCACTCTCGGAGAAGCAATGGAAAAAATATCCTCGGGTAAGGTTTGGAAAAAAAAGTACAGATTAATTTAAACAAGCTGCCACCTCAGTGGCTTCCCACCCTCTTTTGAATCACATGGAGCTTTCAAGTAGGTGCCCAAACCCGATTCCCAAAGACTTCGATTTAAGTGGTCTGGCATAAGGCTTAGGCATTTATACGTCTTCGGAGCTCCTAAAGGAGCCCAATATGCATCTAGGGTTGATAACTTTTGTACAAGGGCATTTTTCTCACTTTGATTTCCTGAGATGCTAGGGGGTTAGTGAGAAAGAATTTACCAACACCAGGAAGACTTCAGAGAAGTCCATAGAATAATAAATCACCGTTAACATTCACTTTTGCAGGGATGATCTAGGACAGTGATTCTCAAAGTGTGGCCCCTGGCCAGCAGCATCATAACCTGAAAACTTGTTAGAAATGCAAATTCTCAGACACTACTTGAAACTAATTGAGTCAGAAATTCTGGAGGTGGGGCCTGGCAGGTTGTTTGCGTAAGCCCTCCAGGTGATTCTGGCACCCATTAACGTTTAAGCACTTCTTGTCTAGATTTAAAAGCCAGCACCAAAAGGAATTTTGTTTAATTATCCAGAGCTCATTTTTCCCTGGGGAAATCTTCCCCATCTTGTGGTGAGTTGCATTCCTTCTTACAGGACACCTACTCTTTCTCCTTCCAATCTATTCCCAGAAGTAGGTTAATATACTTCCTTGGGGGAAACAAGTGCATGTTGGATGATCCACTGCCTTGGATCCACTTCTCAGAAGCAAGTCATAATCCAGGAGTGAGAGATGGCACTGCTTTCAGAACCAGTTAACTACTTACATCAGATTCATTGTTGGCAGAAGCTGTGGTCTTCAGGTCTAGCAGGAGCTTGGTTAACTCGTTCTCCAACTCCAGGGCGCACTCTAGAGCTTGCAGGCCAGTTCCCCAGTTGTCTGTCTCAGGCCTCTGTTGGAGAGAAACTGGGAAGTCACCTCAGGCACAGCTTTCCTACATCCGACTTCCTGGGTTGTAGTATGACTAGGTTTGTATAACCCAATAGTTTCTAAACTTTGTGGCACGATGCAATCAGCCAAGCATCTTAAGTCCTGATGTCTGGATTTCAGCTGCAGACGTCATGAGTTCACTGGCATGGAGTGCAACCTCGGTATCAGGGTTTTAAAAGCTCCCCGTGCAATTTTAATGTGCTTCCAAAGCTTAGGTGCCATAAGCACAGAACGTGCACTATTCCATTAGCTTTCCAATTCCATGATAGTGGTTTAGTTCCATTCCTACAAGACATTTACTAGTTCTCATTTATAAAGCTGGAGTTAAAAGAACCCCTCAGATAACTAGGGATGTTTCTAGATGTAATATCCCCAGCTAAGGTTTAGATGAGTTCTTTTAAGTGTCTGTCCCGGTGAAAAAGAGTTTGTTTCACTACACTGAAGAGGTAGCTATTTTAAATACCTGCACGTGCATCTGAATTAGTCTAAAGATCTGATAGAGGATGCTAACTGTTCTAGAAGAGGCCATAACAGTTGCGCTTCTCAAACTACACAGAGCAGTAGAATCACCTGGAGGGCTCGTTAAAATAAGCTCCTTGGACCCAGCCTAGAGAATCTAATTCTGTGTGTCCATGAATTTGCATTTCTAATGAGTTCTTAGGTGCTGCTGATGCTGCTGGTCCAGAGACCACACTAGGTGTGGTTCATTGAGAAAAGCTAAACAAGCATTTAGTGGCTGCAATTTACTCAAAATTATATGAAGAGGCTACAAAGAAGACATATGCTTGCCCTCAAAGTTGGGTAACCCATATTATACACAGGATTATAATAGCTAACAAGTTAGGTAGCAACTAATAATTTAGCTCTAGACCCAGCAAAGGCCCCATTAAAATCACCATGACAAGTTACATAGTCACCTTAATCACCGGAATGCAGATTTTACTCTCACGTTTTCTTAGATATTTTAGGAATTGCCTTCCATGCTCCCTCTTCACCTCAGCTTGGTCTTCAAAGAATGAAGCAAAAAGTGGTGGTTCCCTCTCTTCAATGTACTGACAGGCCTGGGACAGAGGCGAGAATGGGGAGAGATTGGAAGTGAGATGAGCTGATTTTTTAAGACTGGAAATCTTATACAAACTCACTTTACTGTCTCCATGGGTATCCGAAAGAGGCCTTCTTTGTCTGAGGTCCTCAGTTTGTCCTTTGACTTCCAGAAGGCCCCGTCTGTCTCTCAAACCCAGGCTACCTCAAAGAGAAGCCACCCAGATTTTAATATGCTGAGGCCTAATCTTTGGGCTATTATGGCCTCTTTAAGGATCAGATTTGGGAACCCCATATGCTAGCACTTATCTCCAGTAATTGTGTAAACACAGCAAAAGTCCAGCATAAACTAAGTGACATTTTAAAATTAATCTATTTCACCAATCCTGACACATCTACATTAATTCTAAAATAGAATATGGGTGAAAAATTATTTATTCACTCTACCACCAGCGTCTGATGTCCATATCATTTTGGGAACCCACTGGAAAGAACTGTGATTCTTCCTATCATAGCCCATAGTTTGCAATCACAGCTCTAAATCAATTAGGCCACAAAGCAGCAAAATCCTAGCCACTAAATTGTTGTTTCATCTATCTTCCCACCACAAACATGGGCATAACCACCATTACTAAGGAGACACAAAATATATCACCCAGATCAGAGCTGAAACCTCCCTTCCAGCGGCTCAAGAACCCTTACTAACCATAGATAAATAAGCATCACTGATGTGCAGCTCATAAGATGCCACATAATTAACAGCAACCCTACACTCTTCAGAGAGGGGGTGGTGGGATGCCATCTCAGCTTTAGAGAAAACCAGGCGTAAACAGTGCTACCCAGCAACCTAATGCACTTCTTAAATACTAGTAGGCAGATAGCCAGCCCACTTTCATACAGCTGAAAACTAGATGAAATTTCACCCAGCTGAGATGAACAGCTACTTATCTACTAATGAGGACATTGTTTCTGCATGAAAGAACCAATCTGACCAGAGAAAAAGGTGGGGAAAATAAGTTAATTCACCTAAATATCCCAGCCAGTGTTGAGTACTCTCTCTCACGTTTTCTCTATGATTTGAGAAGGCTGATTGACTTCCTGAATGGAGAAGTAGTAACAGAGAAGATGCATTAGCTTTAATTTATTTCTTTCTTTAAAAACTATTTTTTTGCACATCATGCTAGGTCCTATGGGGAACCTAAGAAGACTGACTAAAATGCATTCTTTGCCTGTAAAGAACATACCCCCCCCCCC